CGCTTTTAATCGGTAAAATTAGACCATCCGACTAGTCAGCCGCTGACTAGTCGGATGGTCTAATTTTACCGATTAAAAGATATGCTCTGAGCTCGTTAGCACCCGGCCGGATCACATGGGCTTGAGGCTTTTTGTGGCTTAATCACTGGGATTGAGAGTAGGGATCTCCGGGGCGTACCCCTCGCCATACGTTGCTGTCTTGCAATGGTAATTTTACGCAAGCCGCTGACTAGTCGGATGGTCTAATTTTACCGATTAGGTCTCGCCATGGTCTGGCCATGTGCTGCCTATGGGTGGCCCATGAAGTGGGTACCCCATGGGTGTCCCATGGGCGGTTTAGCAAACTGCCAGTAGTCTATTAGTGTGGGAGATTGCGTGGTGATGCGTGCGTGTGTAGTGCGGTAGAGGTCGTGGAGGGCCGCATGGGCTAGTCAATGGTTTTCAAACTGGGTCTCTTCTCACTAAGAGGAAGAAGAGAGGGCATTCGTGCTCGAATCTACAGCAATATCTACTTCTGTCTATCCCCTTTTTGGCGGTGCATGGCGGTGCACCAGGCGGGGTTGAGGGAACGAGTTTGGGGGCCAATTTGCACGCACGCGCAGATAATGAATGAATGAGGATCCGACATGATAACAGCAACCGAGAGAGAGGTGATAACGAGGGTAATACATCGACTGATTCTTCATCGAGACAAATCGAAATCCGTCCCCAGAACTCGTCATCCACAGAAAATCGGCGACGCCAGCGCCCGGCAGAGAATGGCTGAGGGAACGAGACCCTATTGCAGGAGAGCAGACGAGCAACAATACACTGTAGAGGGGACCACACCATATGGATCCTGATCGACACCAGCCTCCTACTAGAAGGGTTGACGCGCGCCGTGAGGAATCACTGCTGAAGGTTTTCGGAGGTGGCTTCACAGACGCTGGGGGCATATGCCGTGCTGCAGGGATCGGCACTTTGGACGGCGATCGGGTGATCATGGATATGACTGCTGTGTGAGCCGCTTCTCAATTGCGCCGCTGCAACGCAGCTTTGCGCCGCTCAACAAGGGGGTACGCGAATTGCGTTAAGTCCCCCCTCCAGTCTACATAGTTAGCGGATACTAAAATATCTATTTGCTCGGACCCATCTGTGCCACAGTGCCAGTGGGTGCTCTGTGGCATCCACGTGCATTGCTGTTCAAGGCGCTTGCCCGAGTAAGTTACTAGGTCGGCTGAGGTAGGTGTCTGATGAAAGGGAGCTGTTTGTGATGGAAGGGTGGTGATGAAAGCCGTTTGTGATGTGCGTAGAACTCTCGATTGACTCCTGTATGTTTGCGGCGAGGTTGCTTCTACTGTAGTCCAAAGATCGCGCTCGCACGTGAGAACTTCTAGTTTCGGCCGAGGCTGAGGTTCTTGTAATAGTTCCTCTCGCGGAATACAACTGGTCGCTTCATAGGTGCTAGTGTTGGATGTTCTTACCCCGACTCACAAATTGTGCTCAAACAGAAAACATAGAGAGAGAGAAAAGGTCCCCGCAGTTTTCTGATTGGCCAATTTTTTTGACAGGAAATTTCCTGTGGACGAAAATTCCATGGTCGACCGATGACGTCAGCCACGGTTGTGAGGTCGCCTTTTCGGGAAAACTCGAAAAATTCAAATTCCCCGTGATTGACTGATTGGTCTGATTGGTCTGATTGCTGACGCCCGACTTCCACGGGAAATCGCCGACCACACTTTCTTCTGTCCTGGAGGAACGCATTTCCTACCGGCTGCTCCGATCCACTCTAGGCTGGATGGTGTTGAACCCACCATCATCCCCGCCCCTTTTCTTGTGATTTTTTTTGTCGCACCCACACGACGGACGGACGGTCTTTGAAAACGAAAAGGAGAGCTGTTATGTACAAATCTTGACGGGAAACAATCGTCGCCAGGAAACACCCACACGCTCACAACTGCATCCTGCCCTCACAGGAGAAGAGACATTTTCTACAATACAATCGCGTCTTCACCACACGGAGTAATCGAGAGACAGATATATAGTATTGTCATCAGTCAACGGTGCCACCACCGTGGTTGACGCTTCGGGTAAAAAAAGAGAAACATTATGTTGGCTCATTTCAAAGGGAGAATGGCACGGGCATCCACGGCAGCTGTATCATCACCACATGCCACCAGCTACCGGTGGTGCTACGTGGAGCAGGTAGACCCTCAAGAAGGTACGTCACCGAGGGTAGCATAATAACCAGTCTGCTGCAAACATTATTATATTGGAATCCTCTCTTCTTGACTCTAGCAGCAATTGCTCTACAGCTGTGTGCTAGACGGGAGGTGACCCGAACAAATAGTTTCAAAGCGTCCAGCTACATACCACTTGGGGTGGGTTGAAAATCGCAAAATGATCTCTTCCTAGCGTCTTATCTCGAGTTTCGTGGTAGGAAGGCTGGTAGACAGCCAAGCAGGGAGCTTTCTGTCTAATTTCAGTACACTTTTTCTGGGGCAAACGCCTCCTCCCATTTTTCGTGGCGATCGGGGGCCCCGTTTCAAAATCAGAGACACCCATCCAGCAGACAGACTACATGGAACCCCCTTGCAGTGCTCGGCCCACACACCCCAGACGTCCCGCTGTGGCAGAGTCGACGAGCATCCAAGAACCAGGATACTGCCTATAGTCATCACCAGCAGCAGATCACTAAGGTTTGTCCAGCTGTCCACGTAGCTCTCTGCCAGGTTCCCTGATTTGCGTCTCTCGATGTCCCTGCCGATAGGCGATACAAAAACAACACCACGAGCTCTCACTTCGTCGCTGTACTTAGCCTCAGGCAGCAGTACTGCGGTGCATTGTGTTCGTTACGGCGGGCCAGTGTCTGAGGCGGAGTCGTTTCAATTGCTTGAATTATCCGTGTCGTCCTTCCCACAATACACCACGGGGGTTCAGTACGTCCACACATACCCATCCTGGATGTGCTGTAACCCCAAACCTTGTCACGTATCCTATTACCTGACATGTGATTATCTCTCTACTAGCTGACTTGTTGCTCTCTCTGCTGCGGCAGAACGCGCAACGATACTATTCACGGAATCGCCAGGAGATGCCTTATTCTCGTCGGTGCGCCTACTACTGTCAAAGCACTCCGGTCAAACAAAGTGAACACCGCATCCATGTACGACCGAAATCGGTGAACTGAGATCCATTCCACCCTCATCGGGTGCTACCTATCTATTCATTCGTCAGCAGGTTGTCACTACTTCTACCCTATTCCGGCCCACAAGCTTCTACGAGAGCGATGGAGGTAAGCTTTCCGCTATGTATGCCGCATTTCACTCCGAATGTTTTCACACTTACTTACTGCTGCTTCCTTTCACTCTCGCAGATGGTAAGAGACACCGCCAGCAGAATATGCCCGAGAGGCTCAACGGCTTGCTTTTAGCACCAAGCACAGGCCACTTGCCACCTCTCGTTTGTAGCTCAACAGATCTAACCGGACGTGACAAGCGGTACATCCGCTGATTCTGTTCCCTCTCCACTGTGTCATTGTGTATTTTCTGTATATTTTCCAGAGCTGCCCGGTCACACCTCCTCGGGCACGTGGCACATCGGCGTCAGGCCAGCGGGTTCTTACCCCGCAACCGCTCAACAGCCCGGCACCCCCCCGTTCACCTCGAGAGGTAACACGTGTGAATCCACCACCGCTTTCCGCAACCATACTGGTACTGATTTCCACGCAGACAGTTTTAGGCTCTTGACAGAGACCCTGTTCCCGAGGAAGTTGTTCCAGAGAATACAGCAGTAGTACCAAGCATCGATGAACGAATTCGCTGCTACGAGCAGTAACGCCTCCAATGCTCTCGATTTTCACCCGGTGAACGCGGGCACGCAAGTCCCCCCCGCCCCCCTGTTTCACTCACACACAAAGGCCCTCCCGTCTGACACGATCCTACCATGAACATCGCTTACAGCTTCAAATTTGCATTGGAGGTCAGTACATGTTGCTATAGACTAAAGCGTGTATCTCAGTGCACGCTTGTCATCCACCTATTTGTCGTCTGATCTATCCCGCTCTTCCATCCATGATTAGGAGAACGCTGTCGAAAGTACACCCCCGACATCGTCTGGAAAGAGGAGGAGAGAGCCCAGCTTCGGCGGCAACAGCAGCAGCGAAGGAGTAGGCGACCCGAAGGTAAGGGGGACAGTCGGCCCACCTGTAGAGTGTGCGTGTGTTGCGTGTATTCTCCACGATACACAAGGTTATCTGCCTGTCTTGTCTGGTTGAACTCTGGCAGTTTTGTGTTATTCACCCATGGCCGCGTCTACGTACCTACCACACGTTTCCTACAGGCGCGGGCACCAACAGGAGTGCCGACCAGGGTCAAGAACAGCCTGGCTTTCTACCGTGGGGCGGTGAGCGTGCCGACGTTCACCGAGGGGGAGCGTCAGCACATCGAGTCCCACCTGACGTTCCAGCGAGCGTACGACAGCGTGGACATCCTGTCCAACGGCAAGCCCGTCGACGGTGGGGTAGACCTTGCCCTGGCGCCTGTCGTCGCTGGCGCGATCGCCACGATGACCGACCTGGTTGGCGTGCGACCGGACTGCGCGCACCTGACTACACGGGAGAGAGGGCAACTTCACACGTCTCATTCAGACAAGATGAAGTTCGATTTGCGCGGCACGGTTCACCTTGGCGCGGACGTCCTCCTCGACGGGCAAGTAGACCCCGCGGGGTCCACCGGGGACTTCATCCTCAGCGGCGGCGACCTGCCGCAGCCCCTTATCATGCCGATGCGGAGCAGAGACGCGTACATCGCCACCCCGAAGGTCCTTCACGACCCCTTCTTCCACGGAATCAGCCCTCCGGACCAAGCAAGCCTCTCGGTAGTCTGCACTTGGTCTCCGGGACGTGGCGCCTTCAATCCCTGGCGGAGTCAGTCCCACCCGCTGGCCGAGAGCTTCCCCTCGCTCTGTGGAGTGAAGGCCGTCGACGGCGAGGAAGCGTTCAAGGTGACGACTACGGACCGTGTACCGCCGAAGACGATCAAGTCACGGATCCGGCAGTCGGGGGACTTCACCGACGGCGTTTCGCTGTTCCGAGCACCCCCCGAGGAGCAGGCGTCCGCCTACCACCGACTCGGCAAGATGAGGAGCCCGAACGGAGGTATGGTTGTTCTTTGATTTTACTAGAGTAGAGTGACGAAGCGACGGCCAATTACGAAGACACAATGCTGTCCTTGAAGGAAGGCGTGCGATTTGACCCTTTGAATGAAACGTTGTGGCCTCGGGGTCAAAGAGCAGGAGCATGGGCGGTGATATCGTTGTATTAAGCGAACGGGCTGTTGTTGTTGGGGTTGTGTCTTGTTTGAATGAATTGAACGATGAATGAATGAATGAATGAATGAATTTTGTGCTTGTGCGTTGGCATGTCTTATTTCCCATTCGTCCCATGTGCATCGACCTTCCCGGTGTGCCCCTCAGTGAGTGTAATCCCTGCTACAACCGCCCCCTTTGGTCGAACTGTTGTTGAATTTGGTTCGTTTAAGGTCGATGCCCAATCATCGAAGACGTCTATGTGTTTTGTTGCCTGGCGGTCGACGAGTAATTTCCACTCCCACTTTGCCGGTGTGCCATTCACCGGACACAAACCATCTAATCACCGCTCTCTCTTTCTGATGTTACCAAGGCGTGCAACTGGTTCGTTGAATGAAAGGCCGGTGTCGTTGTTGTTGTTGTTGTTGTTGTTGTTGTTGTTGTTGTTGTTGTTGTTGTTGTTGTTGGTGGTGGTGGTGGTGTTGCCGCCAAAGCGTGCATTTTACTTTTGGAATGAAAATTTGACAGTCGATCGAACAGAACGCGATGCCTTAAGAGGGAGCAACTGGTGCATGGTTGGGATTAAGCCTATCCCCCCCGCCCGTCGTGTTCGCTTGTTTGTGTTGTTGTATTGCGTGGAAATTTTCTTCCTGAAACTAACCTTCTCCTCTCCCCGTGCTTGGTGCTATTACATCCATCCCGACTTTCATTCGTCGTCCTACGGATCTCGGGCACTCCAGGGAGGACCGGAGGTAAGACGATTCGGGACTTGTTACATCCTTTGCAACCGAACAGAACGCGATGCCTTAAGAGCGAGCAACTGGTGCATGGTTGGATTGAGCGCCCGTTCTGTTCGATGCAGGAGTTTCTGTTTGTGTTGTTGTTGTTGTCACATCCTTTGCTACAGTTCCATTCCGACCTTTCTCCGCTTTTCATGATATGATAGTTCACCCGATGCTATGCGTGCGTGTGACCCGAATGAAATATCCTTCACTCTTGATGTTCGCTACTACAGCCCTGGTTACATCCACAATGTACCGCTCCATCCGGCGCTATGGTGTAGCCTGGGGCTTCCCGTGTTTTGTCTTGCGAAAAAGACGCTCAAACTCGGCCACTTGCCGCCTCCGAATGAATGTTCCAATGAAACGAATTTTCAGGGGCGAAAAAGAAACCATCGGGAATACAACAGAAACCCAACAGCAACCCGCGAGGCCCCGGCGGCGCCGGTCGTATCGAGTTTGACTACGGCCCGTACGCTATCTCCCTCGGCAAGCACCTCCGTGCTCAGAAGAACAAGAAGACGGGCGACATTATCATCTCGGAAAACCCGTCGGAGTTCTTCGAGTGGAGCGTCCCCAGCGTGAACAACGGGGAGGGGACGTTGGGCACCCATCCCTTCAACGGCCATGGCGACAACACGAGAGCATCCTACCCGTGCACGAAGGACGGTGCCAGGATCAAGAAGGCGCCCAAGTTAGAGAGAGGCAACCTTTACCTGATGCAGAAGGCCAGGGAGTGGCACCAAAATGCGCAGGGGTAGGCGGGTACTCGAAACAAGGGCGAACGGGCGTCTTACCAAATATGAGATCCATGCCTGTCGGCTGTTAGTGCCGGAGGCCACATGCACGGGGTCTTCAGGGATAGAAGCCTCAAAATGCTGTTGCTATGGTTGTGAGAATCATCCTTTTATTATGTGCATATATCCTTGCGTTGACATGTGCGTAGTTTTTGTGCAACACAACGCCCCGATCAAAGTAGAGAAAAGAAGATGTTTCTCCCGGGGTGGTAGTCTCAGTCAATAGGACGTGTTTGAAAATTTTGTTTCATACACAAGATATCGGTGGTGGTGGTGGTGGTGTAAAAATTTCGTGTGTGTGTGTGTGTGTGTGTGTGTGTGCGTGTGAAAACTGTGTGTTTGTGCAACACACAGCCCCGATCAAAGTAGAAAAAAGAAAGGTGTTTCTCCCGGGGTGGTAGTCTCGGTCAATAGGACGTGTTTGAACGTTTTGTTTCATACACAAGATATCGGTGAACATTGCGTGAAAACTGTGTGAAAAGGAAATTCGGTGAACATTGCGTGAAAATTTAGTGTGTGCGTGTGTGTGTGCGCGCACAACACAAATCCAACGAGTCACAGTCTTTTGCACGGTCACTGAGAAAGGAAGGACATCGACGACGAAGATGCTAGTGGATTGAAGTCACACCGTCCACTGCCTGTGATCCTCTTCCTTGATCCCTTCTACTTTGACAACCGAGCACTTACGGTTTAAAGCCGGTGAACTCGGACCACCGCGTGCAATTTTTAACCATTCACCCAAATCAAACTCGTGCCCTGTGAACTTTCTGTGACTAATCACGACGTGGAGCGTCTTCAAATCGCTGAATACACGCAATCCGACTTCTTCAGGAAGCAGTTTTCTGGCGTACAAATTTACTGATTTACTAAATCGATGGTTTACCTCGGCGGGCGTTAGGCGGGATGTATCTTTCATTCCGCGCAACCGATTGACACCCCCTATAAAGTGTTCGTATTCGCATATTAGTGGTATCCGGTAGGTTCCTCCACCAACCTTGATATGTACCTCGTGATTGCCGTGACTACTGGGCGAAAATTGGACAGCACTACGAACAAGCTCAGGTAGCGCCCTCCCAGAAACAAACGATAACGCGCACGCCAATTCAAAGTAATTTGCTCGGGGGTATGTGATAATTGCTCCCATGAGATCGACAAGGTCGCTTGCGTTCACTGTGATGCTCTTTTCGCACTTCGCTGCCAAGGCTTCTCGACGTCGTTTCCTTGGAATACTTTTTTCTTCCGGCGTGAGTTCCAGCTGAGAGACGTGCGGCGGAAGTATGTTTACCTTCCGTACGAGAGCGTCGATATCAACAAGCCCAGTGAAGGACTCCTTGTGGGAATGAATGGTATTGCGCGCTGCCCATTTGCCGAATAAATCCAACTTGAAAAACGAAATGATACGGCTCTCGGCTATTTTGAGCTGCTTCAAGCTGTATTTCTTCCTTGAATCACTTGAGGTTTTCTTGGCCAGCGACGACGCCTTCCTCTGTAGGACTTTGAGTATGCGCTTAAGCTCCTTCCTGATGGTGCCATCGTTTCGGCCGGGACCGTATACTTGCATCCATTCTCGCCTGACTCGCCGAACATTTTTGTTGAGAGAGCCTGGATGCAGAGTCCTCAAGACCTCAAGAACATGGACCGGGTCTTTATTATCCTCCAACCAACGGGCACACTGGGGAATGAGATCGTTCATGATTGAATTATCTGTATACACACAATACATATTATTTCCTGAGTTTCTTGGCATAAAAGCTAGCGGTCGACCACGGTACAATCAACTCGTCTTCCTCTTTTTCGACTTCCCTCTCCCTAGGCTTCCTCTGGCTCTGTTGCACTTTAAGCATTTCACATCTACATTATCGATCGTGTGCGGCAAAGCGCAGTCAAGACGATCGAGAGTCGGTTGGCGTTCACTATAGACGGCCCAGACCAAGTCATGGTTGCACAAGTTGCACCTCCCCCCGTAGGAGCGGTGGAGTTCTTGGACGAGAGCTTCTCTGTGCTGTCCCCCCTCATCAGATCCGAGACGCTCGGCCGCAACGTCGGCGTAGATATAACTTGAAACCTTCCCAGAAATCCACGATGCCCTCTCTCGGTCTGACATGTCGCTCTTGCTTCGGTGAATATCGTCGATGACCCTGACGTTCGACGGTCCGGTCGCCCGACTTATGGCCGTGTATATCCAGTACACATCGGCGTAAGGGTGTCGGGCCTGGTGTATGACCAGTCTCCCTTCTACCGTACGGCCCTGGACGGCGTGTACCGTGCACGCTCCCGAGGGGTCAAACAAGTTTTCCGCCTCCGCTCGACAGAGTGAAGTCTCCTGAAGGCTAGCAGCACCGTCGAATGCGCTCGCGACAACAACGGTATCTCCTGAGGACCGGATGATGTTGTAGTTGTGATTCTTGTGAACCCTGCCCAGGTTCCCAAGGTCCCGATATTGTGCACCAACAACTGTTTTATGCCCCAGCACGTCCCAGCCTCCAGACTCGTTGCACCCCAGCAAGCCTCGAAACGCATAGAAACGAGCACAGTCTCTAGTGTAAGTGAGATGAAAGTCTGAAGGGCTTGGGTCGTCCAGACAATCACCACCAAATCTCTCGATGGCTCGAGTCTGCGCCTCGTGACTGTCGTTTCCTGCGGCCAGAATGTGCAAGAGGCCGTCGTCCATCTCCACCTGTTCGTCGACAGTTTTATCCCGCTTGCGTGCGAAGACATGAAAGCATGTGGGGAAGGCTTTTTCGAGGATGAACTTTCTGTTGACGTTGTCCCTGCTAATCGACATGCCGCTGCTCTCGCAAACGGGCTGGAGTTGGTGCGTGTCGTACGTCCCGATCACGTGGGTACCGCTGCTATGGGCGGCAGCCAGGACCATGCTTAGGGTCCGGAGAGGCATATAAGCAGCTTCCTCTATGATGATCACGTCGACCTTAAGTGTACGTATCGACCCCGCCGTCTTCTTCACATGAGAATCATCGCCCAGGTAGAATCCGAGCTGGTGGTCAGCGGTCTTTACATTCCAACCGGATGGCAGGTTTGTGAAGGACGTTCTCAGACTATTGGTAGGGGTAACGACCAACCCCGTTTTGAAGATATTCTTGGCAGCGTTGAAGGCACAATAACTCTTCCCCGCCCCTCCATGTTCTCCGGTCACCGCACAAACAATCCTTGAACCTTGTCGAGACAACGAGCCGCGGAGTAAATTTTCTAGTTTTGATGGTGACTCGGCCTCGCATATTTCCGGCCACATATTGCGCTTGGTGTTCTTGCCGAGACGACGCCAGGCGCTGTGAGCTTCTTCCATCGAACTGAAGCCGGTGCCGACGCCATCCCACAGAGGGATCACTAAAAGCCGGGGTTTTAACGGGCAAGGAATTTTCCTCATTGCCGGAGGTAACGCATCCAGCGATAGCTTGACCACGATGCCTTCGAACACCCTCCTCTCTCCACACAGCGGGTTCTTCAATGCCGGTTCAAACTTGAGAGTCCCGGGGGTTTTGTCGTTGCCGCTAAACAACTGGTTGAAGCGGAGTCTCATCTTTTCTTGCACCGAAGAAGATCCCCTGAAGAACACCGCGTCACACTGGAAGCTAAAGTCGGACGCGCCGCATAGTTCGAGAGCGTTCCTCGCCTCCAACACTCGTAATCGAGTTTCGTCGAGAATGAGCGCACCTAACGCCCAGAAGCCATCTCTGTACCAGGTCCGTTCTGCGTCGAAACAAAGGTATGCATCACCGGTGTGAAGTGAGTCGATGCCAAGGTCCCCTTGTCCCGTACGAAGCTCGGCCTTGACGCGATCGACTTCGCACAGGACAGGGACAATTTTTCCACCCACAGCCGAAGCCTCGTCACTGCTCGTAACCATGACGGCATCTATCCTGTCCGCATATCTCTGCTGCAACATACCGCTGGCCCGCACGAATATTCCTTTTTTAAATCGGCGTGCACAGTCGGCATCCTCGAGGAGGGGATCACCCAGCTCATGCGCGAGCAGGTCTCTTACAAGTTTGGGTATGTGGCACCTGCTGACCGTTCTGGATGGTCGCACGAAGTGGGTGACTCTATGGCGAGGCGCGTTGTCGATGAGGTCGAGGTAACGCTTGTAGTTTCGACCGAAGACCGGCGTCACATCCGCATTAAGGAATACGTCTGGCTCACCGAGCGCGTCCAGCTTGATGATGTAAAGCGTCCAATCCTCGATGTTGTGGCCATCGAACTTCTCCACCTCATCCATGTGGCCGAAAACGGGCACCGTCTCCATGTTCATTAGGGCGGCCGTGTGGGCCCCGTTTATGTCACATTGCCAGTCTTCCCTTCCGTAGGAACTCCCGGACGCGTCCTCTGCCCCGACGATCGGCCCCCGCCAGCACACCTCAAGGAGGGCGAGCAGAGACTGGCTGTACTGGCTCGATACTCGAAAATCCAATACCCCGCGGTGGAACTTCAGACCCAGGGCATTATGCAGCTCGATCAATCGTGTTGCCTGGTCGGGCTCGTAGTCATCGGGATCGAGCCCACCCATGCTCGCGCTGCACCAGGTTCGGATGATTACGCCGTGCGCTGGTAAGGACAGTGAATCCCAGCGACTGTAGTTTGTGAGTTTACCTTCGCAAGAGACCCCAGCGAGGTGTAGGTGGAGCATGAGTTCGTCAAGGGCCGTTCCTGGAGGCGCGTACCACGTCTGTCGGTTGTGGTCCCCCCCTGTTTGGTTGATGGCCATGATATCACTCACAATGTCAGCGACACACGAGAAGGTCTTGGTGCCAAACCCAGTCGTGTCTGGTTCCTGTTCTTCCACGGTCATCTCAGAAATTCGACGGAATTTACGGTGAGTTCGTACGCTGTGATCGATTGCCACGTCGAGAGACGATCCAAATCTTTCTCCCCAGGGCCCCTCGAGCACAAGCCGGTACACGTGTCCCTCACGAACCCCAACGTGTAGTGTGGGTGGTTGGAGGTTCGTT